AAGACAGAGGGACAGTCATTACCTTCCTATTCTTAGATACAGCACCGACCTTCATGTAGTGTATGGTGACATTAGCTTTTCTGGTGACCATATTACCATGTTGACTCATATTGAACTTGTACTCCACCACAACTCCCCAATCTGTTCTAGATGTCCTATTTTTCTTGCAATTTCTTTCCCATGTTGAACAAAAGAAGTTAATTTTTTGAATCCAGGCACAAGACTTTGCACCTATTAAATTTCATCTTGCTATATTTCAGCCCAGTATTCTTTCTTCCCAAAGCCTTTTAAAGTCCTTACTCTATCATTTAATGTCTTAGCTTTGCCCTATCCCAACTGTTAAATAGCATGGAAATAATTATAGATCCCTAGGTCACTCCACTACAGTCTTCCTTTTGCTTTGACATTGAATCATTATTTATTACTCCTTTGGGACTGAATATTCAACCGGCCCACATCTAGCCACTTTTTCCCCACAAGAATAACAGGAGAGACTGTTAAATGTTTTGCTAAATATAAGTAACAGCACCAATATAATAAAATTGACATTTATTTATAGATTTATAGACTTAATTTCAAAGTAACATTTTATAGATTTATTATAATACTATTCAAATTAGCATGGCACAGTGGCTCTCTAGCCTGGAGTCAGGAAGACCTGAGTTCAAATCCAGCCTCAGACACTAGCTTACTAGCTATGTGAACCTGAACAAGTCACTTAACTCTGGTTGCCTCAGTTTCCTCATTTGTAAAATGAGCTAGAGAAGGAAATGGCAAAATCGTTCTAGTGTCTTTGCCAAGAAGACTCCAAATGGGGATCATGAATTGTCAAATATGACTGAAATGGCAAGTAGCAATCAATCAATGCCTTTGCATTTATTGTCAAGGTATAAGGTGACTTATTTGGGGGGACCTTGTCAAGTTCTCCATAATATTTCTCTATTTCTTTATCCTCTGTAACAGATGCTGCTGTAAAATTACAGGTATCTTCTGGGTGGGCCCCTTCCCTGTTTTCATCATAAGCTGTTGTTTTCGGATATCGAGAGTCCTCTGGGCAATGAGTAGGAACCAGGTCAAAGTTCTGGCTAAGTGAAGGAATGATCAATCCCTCCCGCCTCAGAGATCTGTTGAATATAAAAACACCCTCTCCCCATAGTGTGGAAATAATATACTTAAGTTAGTCAGTCAATAAACATTTGTTAAGAGTCTACTATGTGCCAGCAACTATGTTAAAGTGTTGGGGATACAAATAAGAAAAAGAAACAATCCCTGCCTTCAAGGAGCTTACATTGTAATGGGGAAGACAACACACACAAAAAAAAGGAAATTGAAAAACTGGAGACCATAGAGAAGGTACTCGCCATAAGGAGTTCAGAGGAGTGCAGGCTGAAAAATGAAGACATCGTTTGCACGGGTGACCGACCTCCTCAAATTAAGATTTGGGAAGGAGCTCTCTGTTCTCTCCTGGGGGCAAAGGGTACTGAGGAGGTATGAGTTCCAAGACTGAAGTGACCTCACAGGATGAAGAAGCTCTTGAGGCATGATGAGGCATGATGGAGAAGTCAAGAGGCCAGATTCCACCAGATTCCACCTTTATTCACCCCTTGCCCTCGTAGAGATGAAACACGGTTGCCATTTCCCCATTACCACCAATATGTCCCCACTCAGGGCCCAAGGACTATGTAGTTTCATGCTGACACATGTCTTCACATCCACAAACAGAAGGAGCAGTTTTAAGTGTCCATTTCTATTATCTATACTCTCTTCTTAGGGGTGCAGTCTCTGGTCCCTGCTTCTCAATATCCACTACAAACTTTTTTGGCCCTTTGAGAGGTTATGGCCTTGTTTCCTGTCTCTGTACTGTCACAATAAGTATCTCCCATGCCTGGGAGGTATTTGTTCCTCACTTCTGTCTCTTGGCTTTGTTAGTTTTCAAGACTCATTTCAAGCACTCCCTTCTACATGAAGTCTTTCCCCATCCCCTTACCTGCCGAAGTGAGACTTTTTTTGCACATTCCTCTAGAGGCTAGTGCCTTACCTCACAGAGCCTGCCTGGTATCTGTGTTCTATCTACATCTATACAGATGAATGTTATCACTCCCATTAGGATGTAGGTTCCCTGGGGGAAGGGACTATGGCTGTCTTGTCTCTGTATTCCAAGCGCCTAGCATCATACTTATAATTTAGAGACCCTTAACAGATGCTTGTTTATTGATTACTTATTTGCTTATGAGATGGTCCCTTGGCATAATAGAGCCTGGGTCTATGTGGCCTTGGCAAAATTTCTTATCTTATATAGGATAAGGTCCACTCAGGAGTACATTAGGAATACTGCCAAACAAGGGAAAGTTTTGTAGATCTCTATCACCTACACGTATTTCTTTTACTGGAGGCAGGATCTCCCAAATGAAGGTTTATGTTTCTGGTTGCATTACATGCAGGAAACCTTTCTTAAATTACAGCATGTTATGGAGTGACACTTTATAAGCAAATGTTTATAGAAATCTTAGAGGGATTTTCATAATTAGCAAAGCTCACCTGGAGTTTCAGGTGAGTTCTTCAAGTCCCCCTTGATTTGGTATCCATCTAAAAACCTCCTTTTGGACCTTTATCAGCTTTCTCAATATAACTGAATTAACCAAACAGCCCATGAATTGATCTTTCTTGTTGCCTTTGAATGAGCACCCAATGAATCTAACTCTGCCAACTCCATTACTCATCTCCTCCTTCCATTTAGCTGTATTTATTTTGTGTTCTGGTTTTCTTTATGAGAATGCCAGAGTGGATGATATTCCATTTCACTGGTAGTATTTTGACTTGTTGAGCCCTGATAAATGAGAAAATTATTTTCAGGTCCAAAGAGCAGCTGGTTTCACTTAATATTATTCTAATAGCACTTGATGGTCAAAATGGGCTTGATATTTATTTTAAAATTTGGTCCTCACAACCACCCTGTGGGTTATGGAATGAAAATGAACTTCATAGAAATTAAGTGACTTGTCCAAGGTCACAGAGTCACTAGACTACATGGTAGTCTGCTCAGAACCAGAGTTTAAATACTATTGCCTACCAAATAAAGACCAAACTTTTCTGATTCATATTCAATCCCTCCACAATCTGGAAACCATTCTAACCCATCTGGACTTTGCTCATTTTATTCCCCTCCAGTCAAACTGCACTTCTATCTTTCTAACCCATCCTTAACTTCTTCACCATCTCTTTTGGCTCACGCTGTTCTCCATGCCTGGACATGTCCCTCCCTCCCCTTCTTCTCCTGTTGAGCTCCTGACCATACTTTAAAGGCCCCTCAGTTGCCATGTCCTCTCAGTATCCCCATTCCCTCTACCATCACCTCCAAGCTAGTAACAACCTACCCTGTAAAAGCTTAGGTGCACCTTACTAAAGCACTTCAGCATTCTATGTAGTTCTCTTGATTTTATTTTGTCTTGGCCCTTTTTCGTTCCCAGTTGTAAGCTGCAGGAAGGCAGGAACCACATGGGATCTAAACTTTGTATCTCCCAAGAACCTAGCAGAAGGCTCTGCACCACACTACTATTGAACTGAATGAGTTGTTTTAACCATCCTAGTGGTGATTAAGGTGGAGGCTAGAGGAGAGTTTCCAATCAAACTTGGAAAAGAAAATTCCCTGACATCTTTCTGTTAGGCTGACAGGGCAGCTGAATAACTTTCATACGGAAAAAACGGAAACTATCGCAAGACAGGAAATGTCAGAGCTTTAACATTGTTTTCAGAAATTACTGTTTTAAATGTATGGCCTCGCATAGGTCTCAAAGTGGTGCATCATATTTTCTTGGATTGGTTGCCTTGTTTCCATAACCCAAAAGGCACAACTCAACCAGGAAATCACACTCTCCCCACCCAGCCACCATGTGGACCTGAAGCCATTATGTTTCTTTCTGTATTGTGTTTATTATTTCCAGATATTAGGTGAGTGAGTATAGAAGTCAGACAAATACAAACTATGAACTTGTGAGTTTCAAAAGATAAGTTGCCACATTTGAGGGATGTAAAAGTCTTTGCCATTGAAGTATTACTATTGTTAATGTCATAACAATGAAAATAACAATAACAACATGGAACTCATTCTTGTCATAGACAGTCAGATGAACTTGGACTCCAAGACTTCCTCATAGCATTATTTATTCAGCATTTCTATAACACTTTCTCATGTTTCGCAATAATCAGTTATGCGACATGAAAAGGAAACAAGTAAAAATTAATAAATGCAATGGAAACCATATGACATCAAGAGACAGCAGTGTGCCCAGTCTTATTTAGCATCTTTATCAATGACCTGAGAAGGAAGGGTAGAGCATTTATTTTAATTGTAGATGATATGGGTTACTGATTAGTCATGGATCCAATGAGACCTTGAGATTCAGAAAATAATAGAGACACGCCTGGAAAAATGTAAATTGATCGAACAGCAATAACAAACTTTAAAGGAAAAGAATGCTTGGAAAAATGAAATCGTAACTGAGAGCTGAGGCTGGAAATTAAATATAAATGTGCAGGGTGGAACACTAGCTAAAAAGCATAAAGCATCAGGCCATGAATGACCACATTGTCTTTGAATCTGACTAGTTATGCCATAGATTTGATTTAAATAAAATCTAAAATTCTCTCAGTTTTTGAAACCTATAAATCATGCTTAAATGCTTATAGGAAGCATTAATTCTCTAGCTGTCTAGAATATCCTAGACCAATTTTGTCCAGGGACAATATAAGAGGTGCTTTTGTGATATAATAGCACTGTTCATTGTTGAAATCCAAAATCCATTGTTAACACCAAGAAAAGTCACCTAAGCTTTTTTAAGTTTCATAAAAGACTCAAGTTTGGAGGAAGAGAAACATATATGTATATTTTATGTATATATATATATTTTATGTATATATATATATTTTATGTATATATATATATTTATATATATATATTTATATATATGCACACACACATATATATACACAAGTATATATACACACATATAACCTTTAATACACATGTATGTATATATATGTGCACATATATACCTTCTCTTCCTTTAATTTTTTCATAAGAGTAATTATTTTACTAACATGATTACACTCATTAGAGATTTCAGCACCCAGGCACACCAGGTTGTGAAATGAAGTTTCCACTTACAAATATAATAGTGACATCACCTTCTTTCTCAAATATCAACTGTTGTTTAGGGCAAGAATTGATTGCAGTCTCCTTTAAAGGAATGGCATGAACAGCATAAATAACTGCTATACACACGTAATCCACAATTCTCATCTTTCTCCATCACCAACCCTTCTGTCAGAGCTAGTAGAAAGTAGTGGGACTGAATGATGTTAGTTCTATCTCATTTCCTCACCTTGGTTCATAAGCACTAATGAGTAATGTAACCAAAGCTCAAATAGCAGAAGGGAAAAGCGATGAGACTGGTTAATATACAAACTTTATAATTGCCCCCATGCCCTAAATAATCCAGAGTGGATTGAACCTTCCACTGTTATCAGTGATAACCATCCTTTGGTTGTATAATGTTAATTTAATTAAATATGCTCTTTTGAGTCTTGCCCTAAGTGTAAATCCATCTGGTTTTCAATTATTTCAGAGATCTTGCCTCTTTAACATCAGTCTTAACAATTGATATTAGTTCAACTCCAATAACTTCTGGGATCTGATTGGATACCTAACACCCTTATGTACAATAAAGCTTTTTTAATCTTGTGATTGATTTATTTACATGTTAAATAAGTAAAAGTCATTGATTATTCTCCATAATAAAAATAAATCTTGCTCTTGGTTTATAATTCTACATTAAATACATTGAAAAACAATAAAAGATTTTGTGAAAAGCCATCAAAGAAGGATTCATCTTTTTCTTTTCTCAGAACTGGTTGGGGATGAACCAGTAAGGAATGGGAGACAATGAAAATTCTTGGTCAAATGAGGCAGGCCCACAGTCTGATTCAGAAAGTAAAATTCTTAAAGATCTCAATCAACATAATTTTTAAAGTATAATTAAAACAACACAAATCCCCTTATCTGAAGAGATAGCCCACCTTAGATTCTAAGTACCATACTCTTCACCATATGCTCCCAAATCCACTGTAGAAAAATACCAGCAATGGCTCATGCCAAAAATAATTTACACATCCCCAGTATCTCCCCAACAGTCACTGGAAATAACTAAGTCACTTTACAGCATTAAGCTGGCAGGAAAAAGAGAAACCATTCAGGTATCACTGTGTAACAAACTGTGTTGACATCATTGGTGGAATCAACCCATTTCCACTTCTTCTGATGATATGGGAAAGATGACCCAGTACATCCATGACTGAAGCTAAGACTATAGAAGTAGATCCTCTCTTGGGTGTGTTGCCGATGAATCCTTTAGTGGTTCTCCAGTGTCTTCTGATTTGTAAGTGGAATAATTTGTGAGATTGCTTTAAAGTGAAATGAAGAAAATGGCTGCATGTTTGCCTCCAGCACAGTGACATTGGGACCAGGCTTCTGGGTGTAGAGGCAGAAGTGGAACCTGTGGTCCAGATGCTGTAGATAGTTAGCTGGAACAAGGGAATGAGGCTCCCTGAAGGGGGCCACCACCTGAAGGAAGCTGATGAGGACTTCCCTCTATTTCCGGAGGACTAAGCTCTTTGCCTCCAGATAGGTGGTGCTGGTAGCCTTGATCTTTCCCCACATCTTCTAAGGTCTGCATTTCTCTGTTCCCAGATGCCAGACACATAGATCCTTAAAAAGCATAAGAAGCAGCATTATTCAGATTATCCAACACTCCCACTGAAAAAGCTCTTAGAGTAGGAGTTCCTAACTTTTGTGTGTGTGTCATAAACCCTCTGGAATATTTGATGAATCCTATGGATTCAGAATGTTTTTGAATGCATTAATTATAAATTTGATACAAATAAATTTTATAAATATAAATTAATATTCATATTTTATAAATAAATATAAATTAAAATGCATAAATGCATTTTAAATGCATAAATTTCAGAATGTTTTTAAATGCATAAAGCAAAATATATCCAATTACAAAGGAGACCAAATGATGGAATACTACTGTGCTATAAGAAATGATAAGAGAGTTGATTTTAAGAAATACATAAAAAGACTTACATGAAATAATGAGGAATGAAATGAGCAGAACCAAGAGAACATTGTATAAGGTAAAAGCAATATTATTCAAAGAATGACTGTGAACTACTAAGTTACTTTGAGTATTATAAATCCCCAAATCAATTACAGAGGATCCATGAAGGAAGATGCTGTCCACTTCTAGAGAAAGAACTGATAAATAGAAGTATACATAGTATTGTTTTACATATATATATACACACATTTCTATGTCTAATGGTGGCCTAATGGTGGGAGGAAAAAAATCAAAAGTGCACAGCAAAGATCAAAAGATAACTCAGAAGGAAGCACAGAAAAGCAAGGTAGTTTTGAAAATGATGCGTAGTATTTATTACATAGTTTTTCAAAAAGAAGTAAACGTTTTGAAATAAAGATTTGTGGTTTCATATTGAATTCTCTTTTTGTGTTATGTTGTATTGTGTATATAGAAATTTTTTTGTCTTTTTGTATTTAGGTTCAAATGAATAAAAATAATTTTAAAAGGGACCAAATATTTTGAAATACAGTTATCTGTGTGTGTGTGTGTGTGTGTGTGTGCGCGCGCGCATGCGCGCACGTTGGTGAGGCAATTGGGTTAAGTGACTTGCCCAGAGTCACACAGCTAGTGAGTATTATGTGTCTGAGGCTGGATTTCAATATATTTTTAAAAACACAGTAAGAATCCCAGCCTCAGGGAAATGAGACAAGATAAGGGAAGAAAAAGTTCAGGAGCCATTCTGAACAGCATCCATGAATTCCCAAAGCCAAATAAACTAAGGCTTACAAGGGAAATTATTCCAAGAATGCCATTTCATGTAAATGTTTTATAAGAGGACCAGTGCAGCTCAGCCAGATCTCTGTGAATCATAACATTCTGTAACAAAAGGTGAATATTTACTCTTCAGAGAGCTATCAGAAAATGATGCTGACAGACTAAGTGATATGTATCTTTCAGGCAGCTAAGAACCCAAAGCATGGACTCAAACTTTATAATATCCTTTCTAGAGGTAGCTACAATTAACACTATTTTGTAGAAGAATCAGACAAACCCTGGTCTGATTACAAAGAGAATGGAGGAGTGATTATATTAGTTTTTCATAGCTAAAAGATTCAAGATTTTTCCAGTCAGTTTCGTTTCCCAGGCTCTCCACTCCTGAGTCACCATAAGAATCTGAATACCTGAGTTTCTGCTATTTCCTAACTGTAAACTTGGGCCAGTCACCAAAATGCTCTGGGCTTCAGGCTTATAGCTACAAACTCAATTTGCTTAGTAAATATATTTAAATAAGCAATTTCAGCACATTTAAAACCAAGAGGGAAGACCTGGGTTTTAATCCTGCCTCTGATACATGCTATAGCTCTGTATTGATAGAGGGAGCTTTCTTACAAAAGCGATTCTCAAACTTTTTGGACTCAGGAGCCCTCCACACTCTTAAAAATTATTAAGTACTCAGGTGGCGCAGTGGATAAAGGTCTAGCCTTGGAGTCAGGAGAACCTCAGTTCAAATCCGGCCTCAGACACATGACACTTACTAGCTGTGTGACCCTGGGCAAGTCACTTAAACCCAATTGCCTCAACCAAAAAGAAACAATTATTGAGGACTCTAAACAACTTTTCTTTTTTTGTGGGTTAGAGCTATAAATATTTACTGCATTGAAAATTAAAACTGATCACTTTTAAACTATTAATTCATTTGGGACTAGCAATAATGAACCTATCACATGTTAATAGAAATACCACATTGTTATGAAAAATAACTCTTTTCCAGAACAAAAAAAATTAGTGAGAAGAGGTTCACTGTTTCATATATTTCTGCAAATCTCTTTACTGTCTAATTTCATGAAGACAGCTGGATTCACGTATTAGCTGCTGCATTCAATCTTTTTCAATATGTTATTTTGGGTTGAAATAAATCTTAACCTCACATAGATATGTAGTCAGAAAAGGAAAGAGGATATTAATAGTCAAATAATCTTAGTATTATTATGAAATAGTTTTGATCTTACAGACCCTCTGAAAAGGTCTTGGGGACCTTTGCTGAAGCATATGCAGACCACATTAAGAACCACTGCTGGATAAGACCTTCTCTACTCCAATAAAATCACAGCCTAAAACTTCCAACACATTACATTTTTCAGTCAGTCTCTCTAAGTCTCCATCGGTAGAGTTAGTCCTTTGTTATTTTTTTCCTCAAAATTGTGATAGATCTTACACTTAGCCATTCACCTCCTCCTCTTGTCCCTCATAATAGCAAAATAAAGATATTTGTGAGATGAACAGTCTGTCACCATGAGACACAGTATCTTAATGGCCCAATCGGGGTTAGAAACCATTCCTCTGATCGAATTAGCTGCTGACTATGCTACTTTGTGATTGGTGTTGTTCAGTCATTTCAGTTGTGTCTGACTCTTTGTGACCCCATTTGGGATTTTCCTGGCAAAAATACTGGAGTGGTTTGCTTTTTCCTTCTCCAGCTCATTTGACAGATGAGGAAACTGAAGCAAACAAGGTTAAATGACTTGCCCAGGGTCACAGCTAGGAAGTAACTAAGGCCAGATTTGAACTCAGAAAGGTGCGCCTTCCTGACTCCACATGCAGCATTCTATCCACTGCACCATCTAGCTGTCCCTACTTTGTGATGGAAAGCTATAAAAAGACCTTAGTCTAATCCTTATTTCTCCAACTCATTATTGGGAAAATTCATTTCTCTTCTGCCAATGAGTTGGCACAAGATCAGGAAAAAAAATATGTTTGGTCCAATTCTTCCCCAGAACAGTGATAATAAGTGCTACCCCTAGAAAATATATTGTAAGGCTTATTTGAATTCTCAAAGAAATGGGCTCCTGAAGAAAGAGCAGTATTATTATTTAACAACAACCCTTCTAGGAAAGTATTGAATTTTATGATCAGCAAGTTAAGATTCAAGCAACAGCAGTAACACGTTATTAAAATGCAGAGTAGCATTTATGATTGTTAAAAGTGTAGTGTCCTGGGTGGCTAGGTGGCACAGTACATAGAGCATCCTTGGGGAAGGTATAGGAGGTGGTAAGGGACAGGGAATGTGGGGCTGGCTTCTGGTTAGCTGTAAGGATACTTCAGTAATTAGAGTAACTTCCAGGCCCAACCAGGCATCTGCTTAATTTTATTTTCCAGGGATAGGGACTAGAATTGTAATTGCATTGGCATGGAAAACTACTAGGTGAAGAAACTCTCTACCACTGCATGTTGGTACTTTCTTTGCCCCTTACAATCCTTGATAGCTGTGTGTGGCACTGAGATATTCAGTGACTTGCCCAGAGTTTCACAGCCAGTATACATTGAAAGAAGGACTTCTGGTCTTTAAGATGATCCCAATCCCTTAAATTTACCCAGTCTTTCAGGAATCTTACACAATGGAGATAACCAGAGAGCAGGACAAACCTCTCACATGGCTTATGAATCTATCTCTTCTGTTTCCTTAGCACTATCCCAGGTACCACCTATTGCCCAACAGATGGTCCCAGAATCAAGCCAGAGTGAAAGCAAGGGATTCTTCACCTGGTATTGTCAGATAGCTCTGCTATTAGTAATTATCTTTTCTGGAAGGTAGTGTCTTTCTCAGGTATAGAATGGGTGGTAATAGAAGATAAGTGCTGAATCAAACCTGTATTCTCTTACCTGAATTATCACAGTACAATTCAGACACAACCCTAGTGTGTTGGTGGTACTGGTTTTTTTTTTTTTTTTTTTCTTTTTGCGAAGCAATTGGGTTTAAGTGACTTGCCCAGGGTCACACAGCTAGTAAGTGTTGAGTGTTAGGTCTGAGACCGGATTTGGACTCAGGTCCTCCTGACTTCAGGGCTGGTGCTCTATCCACTGCACCAGCTAGCTGCCCCGGTGGTACTGTTTAACAAGGTGAATGTTGCTGTGGTTAGATATGAACTCTTAAACTATCACCCAATAAGAAAGAAAGCCTTAATCACCAGGTTCAGGGGGAGAAGGCTGGCCACCATTTGTGGTCTGACAGTCTGTGAAGGACACCTGATGACTCCTAACCCCCACGTCTGGTTGCTCCTTCACAACCCAAACCTGTAGAGAATGAAAAGCATAGGAAGTAAAAAGTTACTTTTTTTTTCAATTCTTTCACAGTAAGCCAGTCACTCTCCAAGGAAAAGAAGGACCATTCTGTCCACCCTTCAAATATAACTTGTGGGCTAAAGAAGAGAGACAGTTAACCACCACTCTTGTTTTACTGTGTCTAGGAAAACAACCAAATCTATACTAAAATAGAGGGATCTTGTTTCCTAGTAACTGATGACTTTTTAAAAAGAACCCCAGAAGACAATGAAATTCTTTAATTAGAAAAAAAAGTATTACTTATTGCATCATTCTTGCATTGCTCAAAGAGGATTTATTATCTATTATACAGGAAGGTAGAGAATTAAATAAAGATTCTGCTTAGTGGTTTTACATCCAAATTAGATGATGAAAGCTTAGCATCCAGGGAAATAGAGGAAAGGTTCTAGAGAGCTGTAGCAAAGTAAAATAAGGTGTATGTCTCATTAGATAATTGGATTTTTTTTCTGATGTCCTTGTGTCTTGTTGGCTGAATAAATTAAGCCTAAGCCCCAAGTGGGGTCAGGGAGTCTAATGCCCAGGAAAGTAGAGAGAAGGTCCTCGAGATCAGCAGCAAGAGGAAATGAAGTGGTTCAAGCTCATTAATTAATTGGATTTCATTTCATGTCCTTATGCCTTTTGTTTGGGTTGGTTTCTGCTTCTATCTGATAAATAAGTTAAGCTTCATTCCCAAAGGAGGCCAGAGAACCAAGCATGTGGGGAAAGTACAGGAAATTATCTGGAGGTCAGTGACAACATCAGCTACATAGGGTAAATCTCATTTCATTCACGTTTTGACTCGCATCTCACAAACAAGCAGTGGGCTTGAGTTGCACTAAGCTAACAGTGTGAGCCAGGAAAGTTGACCAAAAGAAGACACAGGGCCACGAGACTTGGTTAAAATGAGTATAGAGGACAAGAAGAATTTTTCTTCAACCTGGAGAATATGCTATGTTTATTTCAACCAGCACTATATAATACCAATATCCATCCTAGAGGAAAGTGAAAGTCCTGGAGGAGTGCATTTCTACTATCCATTTTGTCAGACAGAATGATGTGTTTCCCCCCCCAAAAAAAATGGCAGAAGAGCTTAAAGGAAGAAAGAAAAATGTCAAGAGGCAAAAGGGAGTTCCTATCTTTGACCAGAGGTGAGAAAATGGAAAAGGAGACACAGAAAAGGAAGACTGAACAAATGGGCTTACGTAAAAAGTATGGAAAGACAGTGTTGCATAGTGGATAGAGACCTTGCTTTGCAGTCAGGAGGCCCTAGGTTCAAGTAACACTTCTGAAAGCATAGTGCTTATGTGACCCTCATTCATCACTTAACCTCTCATGCTCCAGGCAACTCCCTAAGTTGGTAAGTTTCTGGACAGTAACAGTGGTAAAGGGAATTTCTTCACTGGGAATTCTCTATCAACCAACAAGCATTCACTAAACACATACCATGTGCCAGGTGATGTGCTAAGCATTAAGGATAAAAAGAAAGGCAAAAACGGTCCCTGCCCTCAAAGAGCTTACATTCTAATGGGGGTGACATCATGTATATAGATAGATATGTACACAATGCATTGTAAATAAAAGGTAACCTCAGAGGGGATGGCACTAGCAGCTGATGGACCTGGAAAGTCCTCCTGAAGATGGAAACATTTGTACTGAGTCTTAAAGGGAGGTAGGGATTGATTCTAAGAGGCACTGGTGAGGATGGAGAGCATTCCAGGCAGAAGGAGCAGTTAATTAGTTCGTGCTGAGGCACTTAGACAGGAGTTTCATGTGCAAGGAATGAGCTGGCTAGTATGGCTACATCATAGAGTACATGGACAAACGTAAAGTATAAGAAGACTGAGCTGGGAGAAATAGGCCAGGTTTTAAAGAGGGTAAGACAAAAATAAGTAATAATTTTAAAGAATAGGTCTTTGGGTCTCCCTTTAAAAAAGTAAGCTGGTCCATCCCTGGAAAGGGGGGTTTCTGGTGCTGCAAGGAGAGGTGATGTGAGTCATAGATGCCACCAGGTGAGAGTCTAGCCAATAAGGTCAGAGGATCAAGAGAAGAGCCAGGTAGCACAGGGGTTAGGGTTCCCTGAATACACAGTAACCCATTTGTTAACGTGATTTAAAGAATAAAGAACTCACCATCTTCCTGGGGAATGAAAGGAAGGTAGGTCTGGGAAATTAATAGCTGACTAAGTAAATAATATTTAAGATTTAGATTTCTGGATGAGAGTTTAAAATATAGCCATGACAGGCTCTTGGTAAGGGAAGGTGTGCATCTAATGAGGACTAATAAAAAAATGCTTTTGCCTGCACCTTATATTTGAATCAAAAAGGCTTTTTTAATGAGAGGAGGAGGGGGGACGGTCTATGTAGATCAAACAAGCCTGGTCCCATCAGGTATCCCAGGAGGAGGAAGAGCAAAAGAAAAGACCAATAATTCAACAGAGACAATATCCATGTAGAGATCCAGAAGTAAAATCCAAGGCCTGAGATGTCTATTTAAAAATGCAAAAAGTATAGGTAACAAGAGGGTGAATTGGAATAGGACTGATGACTGGAACTTTACTTTGGAAAAGTGTCTCTTATTTAAAAGGAACAAAATAGATCATTGGAGTGGTATAATGACAGTGTATATTAAGGAAAATGTTTTATAGATATACTAGAGTCAGTTAAAATTTATCAAATTGAGAAAAATCCTTAGTGGAATAAGCACATGCCAAGAGGGAGGTAACATCTCTATTTGCAGATGATATGATGGTTTATTTTGACAATCTCAGAGAGTTAATGAAAAAATTAATCATGACAATTAATAACTTTAGTAAAGCAGCAAGCTATAAAACAAATACTCATAAGTCACCAGCTTTTCTGTGTATTATTAACAAACTCCAGGAGGAAGAGAGAGAAAGGGAAATTCCATACAAGTCAACTATAAAATATCTGGACATTAACCACCAATGCAACTTCAGGATTTATAGAAATATACCTAGAAAACACTCTTTACAGAAAAAGACTTAAATAATTGGAAAACTATTCTTTGTTCATGGCAAGGATAAAGCAATATTAAAAATATACTGCTGACATAAAATTATAGGTGTAGTTCTACAAGAATCAAACTATCAGATTATTTTACAGAACTAGACAAAATTTAAAAAATTCATTTGGAAAAACAAAAGATCAAGAATTTCAATAGAAATAATTTTTAAAAGAGGATCAAAGAGAACATAGATGCAAAGACAAAATGAAAAACAGATGTCATACCTCAAGTTATTACTATAAAAAGTAATTAACAGGGCAGCTAGGTGGTGCAGTGGATAGAGCACCGGCCCTGAAGTCAGGAGGACCTGAGTTCAAATCCAGCCTCAGACCAAACACTCAACACTGCCTAGCTGTGTGACCCTGGGCAAGCCACTTAACCCCAACTGCCTAAAACAAAAAAAGTAATTAACAAACCACTTGGTACTGGTTCAAACATGGAAAAGACCATGAATAAACTAGACAAGCATGCCCTCGAACCAAACAAACACGGTAAGTAGATTAATGTTCAAAACTTCCAGATACAGACTATTGGGGAAAGACTTCCTAGTCAATGAGAACTGCTGGGAAAACTGGAAAACCATTTGGAAGAGAATAGGTTTAGACCAGAATTTTCCATTGTAGATCACATGAAGTATCAAGCAGATGAACAACCAAAATATAAAATGTTGCATCATAAAGAATATTAAAGAACAATTTAAATAGGTGCCTTTCAGAACTATACACGCACATGCACACACATATATACATATATTATAGACATAATTGCATATGTATGTTGTCTCTCTTATTAGAATATAAGCTCCTTTGGGGCAGGGATTATTTTGCTTTAATTGAATTATGGTTAGGGAAAGAATTCATAGACAAGCAAGGCTATAGGGGATCATAAAGGGCAAAAACAATTTCAATTATTTAAAATTAAAAAGCTTTTTACATAAACAAAATCAAGAGAGGAAGAATGGGGAGGAACACTTTGCATCAAACAAGTTTGATAACTGACATCCAAGACATATAGGGAATTGACATGAATATGTAAAACTGAAGAAATGTTCCTCTCCTCAATAGATAAGTGGTTAAAGAATATGAATACTTTTCAAGAGAAAAGTCAAACTTTCAACAACTCTATGAAAAAAGCTCCAAGTCATTAATTACAAGAGATGCAACTTAAAGTGAGTCTATTTCACCTAATACCCATCAAATTGTCAACAATGACAAAAGATGGAAATATTCATGTTGGTAGGACTATGGGTACTCAGGTAATTAATTCAATATTGGTGGAGCTATAAATTGGTTTGACCATTCTGGAAAACAATTTGGAATAATGAGAAAAGTTATTAAACTATTAAAATTATTTGATTCAATGATCTCATTGCTTGGCATATACCCCAAAGAGATCAAACACAAAAAGATCTCATTCATGCCAAAAACAGATTTTAAAAGCACTTCTTGCTTTATTCCTTTTAAAATTTATTTCATATGTGATTATCTGTTGTATATTATATTCCTCCAGCAGAGTATCAGAATTGCTTTTTTTATTTTGTCTTTGTATCACCACAATCTAGTTGGAGCAGTTAAGTAGCACAATGTGGATAGAGCAGTAGGCCTCGAATTGGGAAGACCAGAGTTCAAATCTGGCCTCAGCCATTTACTAGCAGTATGGTTCTGGGCAAGTTACTTAACCTCAGTTTTCTCATCTGTAAAAGGAGTATAATAATAGCACCTACCTCCCAGGTTGTGAGGATAAAAGACAAAATAATTGTGAAGTACTTAGCATAGTGCCTGGTACATAGCAGGTGCTTAATAATTGCTCTTTGGATTCAATTTGTCCTAATAAAAAATAGAAACAAAGTAAGGGGCCATCAACTGGGGAATGGGTAAACAAATTGTGGTATATGAAATGAAATGAAATATTTTGTGCTATTAAAAAAATGACCAATACAAAGAATTCAT